TTATTGGAAAAGGCTCTTAAATGCAAGCCCAGCAACTTTGTCTTCTGAAAAGGTATTACGTGTTTTTTTACGATACTTGGTGCTCCTGGTGGTAACCGACAATCCTGTCCATAACAGTTGCAGTGCCCCGTAAATCTCTAAACTTTAAATCGCAATGATCTGAAGGGTACTGCCACTACAAAGTCGACAAGTCTCAAGTGCCTGTATTTTCACCAGCAACCTTACCCTTCAAAACCGGAACGCTATACTGCTTGGCGACAGAAATAAATAAGGTACTTCCCTAGAGGAACTATCTCACAAGGAGCTCTACTTCTACTAAAATGTGACAAGATAACCACCGCTTCAACTTCTACAAAGACAAAAACAAAGCTACTTGGGTACTTGGTAGCTTTTCTATTTTTATGGATATTGTTACGGATAGTAGCTGTCACACAGAGTGTCGGCGTTTTGAAACTTCAGCGGACGACGAGTAAACTTGAAAAAGCAAACAAGCAAAATTTAAGTTATTTTCCAGTTCTTATTGCAATTTTTTATTTATGGTAATTAATAATCCTTTTATTTTTGAAGCCATAGTAGCCTAATGGTTGGACCTTCCGCTTCTCAAGCAGAGGTCGTGGGTTCCAATCTGAGCTCGCAGAGGTGCTTCTCGGAGGCGTTTCTCGGAATTTATGTGCGAAATTTAATTTAAAATTTACCTTGAGTTTTTTGGTGAACGACAACATTATGATGAAAGTTGCACGCTTCCATGAGCACGATTTCGTCGTCCCGACACGTCACTTATTATCATACCCTAGCCTGAGAGGAGACTCGTGCCCAGCAGTTGGACTTACGGTTGGTGATTATATATTATTTTAATCCTTTTGTAATCTCCTAGAAGGCAAAATCGCTCTACCAATGGTCTACCAAATTTATTCCATTTTTTCCTCCATTTCTACTTTTTACGTTTACTAACTTCAAATTGGAGTATTTTAAATAGCATGGACCATCACGATAATTATATAACACGATAATCACGATATTTTTGTATTGTGATAGCTTTATTGGTGTTAATCGAGACACGTCTACCCTAAAATGGAGGGAATGTGACCAAATCAGTAAGGTCTGGAATACTGGTCAAGTTGACACTTGCCTTTTTATCTACCAATGATATTATACTTAAAAGAACATTCTTATTTACGTAATGGATGTCCTAATGTCGTAATAGATGTACAGGCTAAATTATTGTGTTATTACATAAATAACATTCTTTTCATTCTATTCATAGGAAACAAGAGGTGAAATATTTTTGTTATCATGCTACAATTCTACTTACGCAAATAAGGTTGTAACGTCGTAACAGTTCTCGTTCAAGTTCGTAACTATAGTGCCGGTATGCTATGATGGCCGTTTTGACGTTTGTCCGCTCATCAAGTTTCGTATTAACTCTTAACTACGTTGAAGGAGCTACTTGATGTACAATGTTGTCAATAGAGACGTGCAGTAAAATTTATGGATGTATAATTTTACGACACAACTCGGCATTTGTTTTTCGAAATTCGCAATTTAAAAAAATGAAATCTAATATGATCGTCACTTATAGGATCGCTGTCTACCACAATTTCAACCTCCGGCAAACTTGCGACTACATATTAAGTAAACATTTTTATTTTTGTTTTATTAAAACTTTTTAATCAGCTACCATTGCAATACTAGTTATAAATCTAAAAACGTAGAGATGCACGTCGCATTTGATTTTTTTTTGATAATGAATTGAGATTTGACCTCACTATTGTAATCTGTCAAAACGGCCATCATAGCGTATCTTTGTCAATGCGACTTATACTTAGCTGTATAGAATAACTACTAATTTATATATTATACTAATTTTCGCAGTTTTGTTGGTTCTCGGTACAAACTTTAATCCCCTATTTCACTCCCTTTAAGATGTATTTTTGTGACAAAAAGTAGCTTATGGCCTTCTCCTAGGTCTCATTTATTTCTATAGGAAAACGCATTAAAATTGGTTCAGCGGTTTAGGCGCGAAACGTAACAGACAGAGTTACTTTATCATTTATAATATTAGTTTGGATGTAAATTGAGTTTATGAAATAACAGCATGCTGTATCTATAGTTATTATACACAGTGTCGCTAAAACTATAAGGCTGAACCTATTTAACAGGACGTTAAAGCTTTGAAACAAATTATAACAGACTTGAGACTTCAAACTTAAGTGTACTTAAACCACGACTTGCGAAATGTAAATTGACCCCTCATTTTAGACTCCGCAGATTCATATTGTACCCCCTAAGGATTAGGTCGACTGGAGTTTGCTATCCGACATGATGATAATGATAACAGAATATTTTGGTCATGTTACCTCGATGTTACCACGTAGATACCAAAATGTACACCACCTACAGTCGATACCAAAATGATCTGTGCAGACAAACTAACCAAAAATACCTACCGACACATACAAACTGGTAATCTTAAGAGCCCATACTACCTCAGCGCGAATTAAAATTTTTCCCTTACTACGGTTCATTTTGCTGGGTCGAACGGCAGTGATTTTGGCTTTATTTCATATTTTTTTTACAAACCAAATTAAAGCTATTATGTGTTCTATTTAGTTCAGTTAATATAAAAAAAAAATCATTGGTATATTGAATACAGCCGTTTTCTTGTAAAATTTCGAGGTAAGTCTGTGTTTTTTTTCTATCGTGAAAATTTTGACGAATCGTTTTTCACGCTTTATAGTAACCAGTGTACTTACTACACTATATACTTTTACTATATATTTTTTCCAAACTAATTGATTCAACACTTTCACTGTTATGCGTTATGCGGACTCTTATCCATAAACCTGTAGTAGTAACAACACCTCTTCAAACTTAGTTATGCTATTTTTTTATTTTTACGTGGACTATTTTTGGGCACTCTCGATTTCCAGTAGATATAACCATACCTTACGTTCACTCATGGGGGTGTCCCAAGATATTCTCTTCAACAATACGGTCTGGAAACTTGTTAATGCTATTAGAGGAAGCTGCGGAGGCGTTAAGCTGCAACCTTACTTAATTCTACTTATTCGACAAACTTCCACAACGCTTCCCGCTTTTGCATCTTTGCTAACTATACTGATATAATGTTCGTTAATATATGAAAGTATTGTACAAGGTGTTTTGCAGCAATGTTTCCCATCGGTCACTGGGCTGCCCAATGGGATTTTTTTTCCCATTATTCAGATTGATTTGACAGCGGGCGGTTGATCAGGATGATTTAGAAAGGTCAAAACTGTTTTGCATTTTCTCATTTACTCTTCTTACTTAATTCATATTCAAAGTTCTAATATTTAAGTTAATATATTAGCTACGTTCTTTTGGATCAGGATTTCTTTTAGTTGTGTTTAGGAATCGTTTAGGAAAACTTCTGCAATCAATATAACGATGTTTACAAAACTACCTCTTGTTACTGACAAAATAAAATGCAAGAATTTATTTGGTTAAGTAAGTGGCTTGTGGCAGTTTGATAAAAATAATATTTGTTACAGACTCATGTCTTTTTTTATTTATAATTAATTGATTAATATCATTATTACAAACAGGAAACTTTCCCTTGTTACCATAAATCGATATGTCACATTGAACATATTTTAGTTTCTTTGTACTCAACGATACCTTAACGAATCCCGAGCTGATCTGGACAAAGGAAAAAATCCCGTTGGCCACATTTTTTTGTACATTTTTTACGTACTGAATCGATTCTGTTGCGTTCTATTTCAGAATTATTTTTTTTACAAATGAAATTAAAGCCATTTGAAAAATGTATACTACACGTGTTCTTATAAGTTCAGTTGATTTAAAAAAATCATTGGCATATATTATGTAAAGCACCTATTGAATACAGCGGTTTTCTCGTAGAATTTCGAGATTTAAGTTTGTGTTTTCTTTTCTATCGTGAAAATTTTTAGGAATCCTATTTTCACACCACCTGCCAATCAGTGCATATCGTCAATTTTAGGATATATTTTTGTGCATATCGTCAATTTTAGGATATATTTGATTCAACACTGAAAAAATCAACAATCAAATCAACTAAAGCATTTGAAGTTGTATAGACTCTTAATTAACTTAGCTTAACAAATATAATGTGCAATGTTAAGTACTATTTACTCTGTGTTGAAACACTATTTTGCAGATTGTGTGAAGATATTCCGAGGATACTTATGTATATATAATTATAATAATCAACTTTTGTATTTCGGTATTTTTGCTCTTTCAGAAAACGATTTCCCACTAAATAATGTGCCAGACAGCCGCGTTAAATTGGGCTGCGGACCCTTGCTGCACCTGGATGCTATTGCTCGGTCTCAAACTAGGGGATTCCCTGTGCTATTATTAGTAGGTACCAGAGCAACGGAATTCACTCCGGGGCACTACCTAGAAAACCAAGAACTTTATTTTCCAAATTGGTCCTACGAAATGCCAAAAGAAATTAGATTTTCAAAAATTATAAAATTTATTCTTTATTACAGGTGTCGATTTTTTCAAAATATTCACCAAGAACACGTATACACTTTTCCATTCGTCTAAACCACTTGGAAAATATCGATGACCACTCTTCTTTAGACATCTCAGAAATCTCCAAGTTATAAGCAGCCATGCCATCTTCTTTGCTTTCAAACCGTTATTAGTTAAATTAAAAGGCAAGCCTTTTAATTTTTGGAAAGAGGTAAAAATCACAAGGTGCTAGGTCAGGGGAATATGGCGGGTGAGGCAGGATAGATACATTTTTTGAATGAAAATAGTCGAGTTTTCTAGCAGAAATGTGCGGAGCGGCGTTGTCGTGATGCCAGATGAGGTGGCGGATTCCTGACTTCTGCCGCTTGTCACACCAAGCTGACAAGACTTTTGAGGCACAAACTGTTATGTACTATTCGGAGTTAACTGTCCTTTTTAGAGGATCCTCTAGCACTACAGTAGCAATGTGTCCTGTCATGCAGTAAAAAAACCATTTGTTTCTATGTGCTTCGTGTACGACGACATTTCGTTGGCGTCGGCTCATTTTCAAAGCACCATACAGTGGACTGTCGCTGTGTTTCAGGATCATAGTTATATAACCATGTTTCGTTACTAGTCAGTATATCATAAACGTTTTTTTTCTTGCCAGGGTCGAATTTATCTATCATAAATTTGCACCAATCCACACGACGTTCTTTCTGCTCATCGTTAAGTTTGTGCGGAACTGATCTCGAACAACGTTTATGGAGGGACAGTCGCCCGTGAATAATAGTTTGCAATGCTGCTGATCCAATGCCCAGTTCTTGCTCAAGCTCTGCATATGTAGGTTGTCGATTTTCACGAATTACTTTTTTGATAGCTTGAACGTTTTCTTGAGTAACCGCGGTTGGCGGCCGACCTAACTTCGCCTCATCTTCAAAGCTTTCCCGTCCTCTTTTAAATTCAGCAAACCAATTGAAAACTGTAGCTCGTAAACAAGCAGTATCACCAAAAGTTGTGGTTAAAAGTTGAAAACATTCTTGTGGATTTAACCCTTTTTTGTAGTCATAATAAATCATAACACGAAAATCACGTCGAGAGAGCTCCATTGTTGCGAACAAAATTCCCGCCAGATTATCTCGGTAAAATAAAAAATATTCTATTTAAGACGTGTTCCATTATCAAATTTATTAACCTGCCTTTACGACGGTGTATAACTTGATAGTATGATACAAGTGATTAAAGAGTATCTAAGTTCTTTTGGCACGACTCTGTACATATAGGATTTATTGTTTTCTAAAAACGTTACTTTCCTTAAATAGTCTTATACAATTTGCTTATGTATATACACAGGTAGGTTGGGTACATACAGATGTTATGCGACTCTTAAAAAAATCCAAATAAAATAATTTTATTAGCTAAGACAACATGCACAAAATTTTTCACAAACTCAAATTAACACTGAACATGTTATTTAAAGAAAAATCAAACATTACATGCAAAAATAAGGAAAGCAAAGAAGATCCTAACCAAATTGAGGTTATTTTGTACAGCGGCGTTAAACGCTTGTTTCGGCTGCATTCCAACCCTAGTGTTCTTAACTTCGTTTTGCTGCTGGGCTTCCGCTTTAGGTTGCCGCTTTATTTCCTCAGGTTCGTTAAGTTTCTTAATATTGCTGCTAGGAGACTTTTCGCTGGGCCAATGCTTTCTAAATTCAGTAGTACTTGCCGTTGTGGTTGTCATCTCAGCTGTAGTTCTGGTAACCACGGTCTCAATAGTAATATTAGGAAAAGTGGTCGCATTTGTCGTGGCCATGTAAACAATCATAGGAGACTCAGTAGTTGTAATCACCGATGACGTAACAGTTGTCGAAGGTGTTACTGTACGTTCTATTTCAGACACTACAGTCATTGTGGATGTACCTTCACTTTCTTCAGTAACCGTGTCTGTTGTCTCTGTTGGCCCCAAAGTTACCAAAGTTGTGTGTTCAGTGGTTTCTATCGGTTCCGGCTCAATTCGCGGCGAAGAAGTAGGCGAGTTTCCTGTGTATTGGACTTCCGAGCTAGATTCAGACGACGATGTTGGTTGGGTGACACTTGAAGTAACGGTATCCTTGTAAGTCACCGAACAAATATTGCAGTTGATTTCATCAGTGCCACATTGCTCGTGAGTGCCACAATTGATGAACTGGTTCCATGCAGAAAGCAAGGTATAGAGATGTGGTTGCTTGCAGCTATTTTCTATGTATGTCTGTATACCTAATATTTCTCCTTCGCATATCAAAGGACCCCCACTGTTGCCCTGAAATAATAAAAGAAACCATAGTTTTTTTGGTAAGGAAAAAAATTTTAGTAGAGACTAGGCAGAATTGTGTTCCGATATATAGTGTAATTGATTGAGAGTTGACAAACAACAAGTTCACCTGAAGTTCGACGAAAATACAAAATACTAGGCGGAATGTCGATTCCCAGCCTAAATGCAGCAGTCTTTCTTATTTTTCTTTTTTCACACTTCGGCATATTAGCGCGCGCAAAACAATTGAAACCTACAATTGAATTGAAAGTTTCTCTTAGATTAAACATTGTCCTTTGACATCAATTCTATCAGGTCACACTCTGAGATCAAATTGAACTGAAGTGCATTTTTTATGATAGCTACACATTTTATGCATGTCGGTCGGAGAACAGTCGAGGCATTCCCATCGAATATTGAGCAAACAAGGTGCGCTTTGATAAATATAAACTTACCATACAAAACTCGGGTTCATAAAGGCCGACTTTGTTCTCATCGTTGTCAATGCCGCAGGCCATGGAGGCATCATTGAACTGGTTACCACAATTATCTATCGAAGGTGGCAGTAGCTCTACAGGGAATTGAACTAGCATTTTGTAATATGTGTTATTTCCGTACTTTTTCTGCAAAACAAATAAAATTGAAGATATTGAAGATTCACCTAGCACTTTTAATGATAAAAAGCGAAAAATAAATTAACTTACCGCATATACGAGAATTATACAATTCTTATCGGCGGCACTTCGCTTCGGATTGATGTTTGTAGTGGAAACTGCTGAAGTCATTTTGAACGGCAGAAGGACTTTCAGAAGAGTGATGTCACTGGTCCACCAGACCTCCACAGTATGTTGTTTGGGCCGGGCTATTTGGATAACCTAGATCGGTGAGATGATTACTTGTATTATACTGTTGGATAATATAATTTAAACTCAATTTAATTAGTATTCAAAATTCTAAACGTTATTTTCACTCTTAAGCCCCAGTTCAGAAATTAAATAAATTGTGCTATTCGATTTATAATCATTGTGCGGAAGTCTTGTTATCATTATGAATACCTCTCGTTCTTGTTCATCTTCGTCTTCGTTCAGTGTGAAATTGGCATCGATACTAATAGCTCCGAGTCTGGCCAACAAGGTTTTCCTAGGGAAGCCGAGTGGAATGCCGTCCAGCTCACTATGATCGATAGCAGAACTGATAAGCCATTCTGGCTTAATCAGTGATGCGGCACGGATAAACCGAGCGCCTGTTGTATCGACCACGGTCTCGTCAGGGTAATAGACGAATGCCTGGAAATAATAAGATTAATTGAAATGATATTGTTAGTCTTAGAGGTTTGTACAACTACTAACCCATTAAATCATCCCCATAGAGGTATATAATTTAATCGAGGTATAAGTGTACTGTTCATATTGAGTTACACAAATTGTTCAAGACAATAGTAGGGCACTTACCATAAAAGGAAAAGCGCCTCGTTTGACGTCATTGTCTGGTTCGGCATAAACTTCTTCGCTCCAAAATAATACTGAAAGGGAAGAAGCTCTAGATCACTGAAGGTATATTGAACGACAACTGTCACTCATAGGTTTAAGTGGAAATTGTAGTACAAGTTTTCAGTCGTGAAAACAAGTTACGAAATTTTGATTTTTTGAAGCAAGGAAGAATATAATTATTGTATTAAAGTTTTAGTATCATCGACAGTATGGAAATTTATGATTCTACAACGCCTTCCATGTGTACGTATCTATACGATGAAATAAAAGAAGAAAATACGAACTTACCAAAACACACTGCGATGAGAAGGCGTATTTGCATATTTTTAGAAAACCATATATATATTTTTTTTATAAAATTAACGTTAAGACGTTAAGCAAAGCGCCGGCAGATCTTCTGACATTTCTGATATTCGAAACAGGAATGTGATTTTGTTTTTAATTGTCATCTTCTCACTGCCAGGTAAGAAGAAGAACGGTTAAGCAGACTTATTAGTCAACCTTCTTGCTTAAATTCTCGAACGGGAATTTAAAAACTCCATCATTCTTTTAACTAAACGTTGTCGTAAAAAGTGAATTAGTGGAGTCACGTCCCTTTATTTTTCTCAGTTATCTGTAACAAAGTTGCGCCGACTCGAGTTGAGGGCATTAATCAGAATCGTATCCCGGTCGAGACGTATTATCCCCAATAAGGCGGAAAGAATGAGTTCGCAAATTTAAAACGCGTGTTTTACAGATAACGTGGAGGGATAAATCCTGGAAAAGGCTAATTATTCTTGTAAGGGGTGTTTAAGAAGGCGTATTAATACGCTTGGAGCGACGTCGGTGTTTGAAAAACGGAATAACACAGGAATAAAAAGTGCCGTTTATTTTAAAATATCGCGGACGGGAACACGGCTTGGGCGGGCGCGGGACCGGAGCTCGCACCGCGTCTTTGCTGTTTTAAAACTCAATAAATGCATAAAACATTTGAATTAGGAATTTTCTACGGTTTAATTTATTGGCCTCCATTGATTCACATTCAGTAGATAAATATATTAATTTTAAGGAGCAATTATTATTATCCAAGTCCAATAGGACTTTGATTATAATATTTTGCTCCTTAATTATAACGTAGTATTACACTCTACATTACATGCTACCTTGTTCATCTGAAGATCCAAAACAACAATGTAGCTTACAAGTCTCTTAATATCCTTTCAAAGGAGTGAGAACACTAACGTTGTGATACCGGCCATAAATGAGTGGTAAGATTGTACCCAAACCGCTGATGCGGCGACGGCGGAACGACTAGCTAGACGACCATTACCGGACCAGTTAGATAAGACCCCTACTAATGCTTCCGTTAAATGTTAACTTAACGATTCTACTGTGTAACTCGGCGGCCAAGTGTCTACATATTTTGGTGGTTGTATAACGATCCGAATGAACGAGGTACGTGTTTTGGCGGGTTCCCACAATTGCTTTACACTATTCTAAGTTCTTTATTTCTGAAGACTTGTTCTGAAGACGTACCTTGCATGGTTATACCAAAAGAATAAAGTTTAAATTACACACTTTAGTATTTTTTAAACAGACATTATAGGTGACTAAATACACTGACTACTATGACTTTTTCTCAAAAAGAAATAATTGATACTACTTAGGTATTAGTGCGGTCCACTAAAAGTAGCTGATCACCTAAAATTCTTATATTAATTACAGAAAGTAAACTCAAAACAAGAGGAAGGAAACCGTTAAAACAAAGCCACTGAAATGAATTAGGTTGTTTCATAAATATTTTATATGAATCCTTATTTTTCATAACATGATAATATTCAGATGACAGATTTTTAGTTACCTAATTGTAGATCTTATTTTATTTTAGCTTTATTTATATATTTTATAAAAAAGTGTGCATTTGATATCATAAACAATGCCACTCTCGTCGTGAAAAGACTGAAATAAAATTTAAAAATACTAGAAATTGAGTTAATAAGTTACTAAATTTTCGAATCAATTTTGCTAAATAATTAAAGTAGACGTAAAAGTTGTTAAGCTTTAAACGTGTTATATAATATGTAAGCATATTTACAATTTCTCTAGACGCTATTGTCTCGATAAGGAAATGCCGTAAAAGTTAAGTGACAGCGCCTGAACAAAAGTTAGCAAAGTTTATAGCTAGTTATAACTTTGCCTCACGGGATGTATCTCTAGAAGCATCGGGATATATTGTCGTGATATTACCAACGTATTCTATTCTGACGTTTTAAGGATTCAATGACCACACTAAAGTATAAAAACTATAAATTTTATTTTTGTTTTCTGCCTATTTCTGCCAGTAATGTTAGGATTACTGCGTTCCGGTTTCGAAGGGTAAGGGTGCTGGTGAAATTACAGGGACATTGGACTTGTCAACTCATGTCTCAGGGTGACATGCGCAGTGGCAGCACCCCTCAGATATTTGTGATTTAAAGCTCTGAGTGGCACTGCAACTGTTATGGACAGGCGTGTAGCTTATCATCACGCGCACGACTTATTCGTCCCGTCACTTGATATTATAAAAAAAATAACAATACTTTTTTGCTCGTTTTATGCGTGTGTACGAAAGGAGCCTACTAGGACGTACCATCCCTTTCCTGCATGTCTGACGGACCCTGGGCACCAATCATCGGATATATTGCGCCGATTGGCAATTACTTTTAACACGATGGCAAGCATTATAATGTATGCTATCGATGCGATAAGGCGAAGAAGAACAATAGTTTTCTGATATCTACCACATAAGAAACAAAGCACATAATATACAAGTCAGTAAAATACCACCGGTGAATATAGTTCGGAACTTTTCACGAGCTTACCGAGGCGACGCGACGCTCTCTTGATATGAATATTAAACGCTCCAAGAATTAGGAGATTTATTCGACGATTCGGAACTTGGCCCCTCGCTTAAATGAATGTTTAACATTATCTGCACACTTTTCGTTGAGCCTCTTAAACAACTTGAGAAGAACTTTAATAGAGTGAACTCTCGGACGATTAATTCGGGGACGTGCTAAGGTGGCCAAGAATTCCTAATAAGAAAGGGTGAGTGTGTACCTCAATCGGTCTTTTCGTTCAAATATTTTGATTACCCGTAATACTTTAAATTTTTGTGATATTTGAATTTTGTTATACATTCAAGAAAAATACTTTAAAAAAAAAAGAAAATTCAAAAAAATAAAGAAATTTATTAAATGACTACAATATAAAAAAAGAAAATATCTATATCAAAATAAAAAAATGGGTAAGTCACAATACATTTTTTTTTATTGTACCAAGTGACAAGACGAACAAGTCGTGGTCCTGGCGGTAAGCGACACCCCTGTCCATAACAGTTATAGTGCCACAGCTTTAAAACGCAAAGATCGGAGAGCACAGCTACTGCGCCCGTCACCCTTGAGACATAAGTTGACAAGTCCCCATATGCCTGTAATTTCACCAGCGCCTTACCCTTCAAAACCGGAACGCAGTAATGCTCACAGAAATGCATAGGTTAGGTGGCAGTACTTTCATGGACGAACTCTCTCGCAAGGAGCTCTACTGCTACTACATAACTTAGTTTAAATAATTTAGCTTTAAAGGCAAGGACGCCGTTTATGAGTTTTCGCATTCATAAAAAAATATCGATATGATAAGAAGGTAGGGACAATGTGTTTAAAGTTGTTGGGACATAAAAAAATAATCGGTTATAACCAGATTTTTGTCACAAAATTGTCTTTGCTGTAGTGTCATACTTTACTCAATCCATCTCACGTGCTAGAGACACGTGGTGTCACTAACGATTTTCGTATTGTAACCTGTTAGAGCCACACGGTGTCTCGGACAGTTGTTTTTTAAAAGAAATAAAATTAATAATTAAAAAAAAAAATATAAAGTTTTTAAAGGAAATTAATTAAATTAATAATTTTTCTACCATAATCGTCAGGGACACCGTATCTCTCCAGGATGCTTGATGATGATGACAGTTAATTTCGATAAACCGAATATGTTACAATTTACGTTTCTTTTAGTGCTTTAGAAACAGACTACTTCTCCTGTTGCGATGAGTTTTTTTTTAATTGACCAAAATACAGAAAAAATACTTATTTACTAATTACAAGCTTCGCTCACAAACACCCATCTGGCTTTATCTGCGGCGAAGGAGTTAAGTAAATATATAATATAATAGAGAAAAAATCTAAGAAACTAACTTAATTAGATCTAGACCGGTACAAAAACATGCTCACTTATATATGCATATAAATGGCATATAATAACCATTAAGCTATTTACAAAATAAAGTTTGTATCTTCAGTTTTCAAAAAATTTTTCTTAATATGGGATTTACAGTGTTTGTTGTTTTGATAATTACATGTAAATTCCTCACTGATTTTGTTCCTTAACGCAGGTAACAAATATTGCCAATTTCTTTTTCCATAACAGTTATTGAATTTAGGTAGTATGTAATATGAATCATTTTTGAAGAATTATTTTTCTTAATGTAGTGTGACGAGAGTACGGGGTAATCTTTGTGAAGTTATGATTTATTTATTCATCTATTAATAGGGCAGGGTTTAGTTTGTTCTGTGCAGTTAATATATCACAATATTTAAATAGTTGAGTTCTGTAAAAGATGGTGCTAAATATAGAGGACTGTAGAACTTAAAATAAAAATTTGTAAAACTCTGGTTTATTTTTGGAGGGACGCACAAAGGTAACAATGAGACTGTTTTTTTTACGCAGTTTGGTGTATGTTTTCGTTCATTCAGCCTAGTCTGTGATCTCAACACACTTACATTTTAAAATACTAGAGATTTAAATAATAAATGAATAAATAAAAAAACTTTGCACTCGAAAAAGTCTGTCAGTTGATATCTCTGTTATATCGACTTTCATTTGATTTTAAAACACCATTTTACTGCGACAGTGAAATAAAATTTGGGGAACAATCTGAATATCATGCTATAAAAACTTACAGTTCGGGAAAGCTATATTAAGTTGATTGGTGCGCCGGGGCATTGTTCGCCGGCGTCATTTTCCAACGCTCTGTCCGCGGCATTGTGTGCACTTTATTGAATTTGATTTACTCGCCAATTTTTGTAGGCTTCGGTTTTTATTAACTGACCTCGCGCGGCTGTAAACTTAATTGAATCCACTAACAAAAGGCATCGGATGAAAAGAGCGCCCATCGGTGTGCGTTGCAGATTATAATAGGTTTCCCCGAATTTGCATCGGCTTTAAGTTACCCGATATTGAATTTTTGCATGGTGGTTGCGCTTTCACACGGTTGCTATTGTTGAGCTCAAAAAACACAGAATACTATTTCACGACTAATTGGATTATAATAAT